AGTAAAGCTCATTGCTGAACTGCCTTTAATTTCTGCTTTCTGACAGAATGATATGATCATTTTTTTAAAATGTAAACATATCAATTTAGCTGTATCTTAGCCTTGGTTTGTCCAAGGTTTTCTTATTCAGTACCCTGTAGGCACTGCAGAGAAGTTTTATGACTTGAATATAATCATCTACACATGAAAAAAATAATTATTGATTTTGAGGAATAAGGAAAGGAGAAAAAAAAAACCAACACAAGAAAGTAATGTGCTTTTGTCTGCTCCAGGGACAATTGGCTGTTGCAGTTGTTATGCTTTCCTTCTAAAGCACCAGCCTCTCCTGTGAGATCTGGTAATGAACAATTTAACCGTTTTTATGTTAATGTCTGTCTGATAAGAGTTTATTTCTATTTTTTTTTTTAGGAATAACTCCTGAAATTTGAGGAAAGGTTTGCTTCTGATCAGTTCTGAAGAAGTCCTGATTAAAGCAACCAAAGGGATTCTTGCTTTCAGTAGTCTGCAAAGCAGATTGCTTTGTGCATTTAAATATCTTCCCTAATGTCAGCAGGGACTACTTGTGTCCAAATACAATACAAAAGAGAAAATGATCATCATGTTTCTGTGGATATAAAACTGAGAACCATTTCACAATGACTGTCTAGCCTCTGCAGCTTGGTTATCTTGACCTATCTTACAGCGTTACTTGCAACCTGTTCCAAAATGCAGTCAGCTTGTGAAAATTGGGTACAGTGCTCTAAATTAATTCATCAAGCTGCAAAACTGACAGGGCAAAAGGGCAACACAGTGCTTTGCTAGAGCCTGTGGTGGAAACTAGAGGACAGGGGAAAATAAGAAGTGACTTTGTAAGATTTTAGCTGCAATCTCAGGAGTAAACCATGTAACAGTTTCTTAGAAAACTAATGGTTATGTTTTATTGTATGGTGTTCTAGGTCTGTGTGTTGGAATAAATGCTATGTGACATTCAAAAATGTATAGAAACACAATTATCTCAGTAGAAAAAGTGATCATTAAAAAGATGGATGGTGCATGTAGGAGGGTTATCTCAAGCCACTACAGCAGCATCAATCTGCAAAATAGCATTTAGCTGTAACAATTCTTCACTGTTTTTGTCTCCCCTCCCATTTTTATTGTGAGAGGACAGAAAAAGCTTTTTAACAAGTGTAAGTTTCTAGTTTTAAAAGGATTCTTTTCGAAACAATTAGTGCTAAAGGGAAAACAATCTAGGAAGGAACAGTATCATTTTCCCCCATACTCCCTTCCCCCATGGCTTTTCCTTTAAATATGATGGAACCCTAATCTGTGCTCTTTAGAGTAGAGGTAATGAAATTACAGAAAGGATGTGAAAAGTATCTGTGAAGGTAAGCTAATACTTTCCATTGTGTAAACCACAGATATACTGCCTGAAGACACATAATATGAGAAAGTTAAAGCAAAGAAATCAATATGAGGAAAGATTTCATTTTTCATTTAGGTTTTAGAGATCCATTTGGCAACGAGTTACTTAAGAAGTATGCTTAGGTTCATTTAATTCATTGTTAATTCATCTGTATTTTCAAGATCTCTGACATCCCAAATAGATAATTCATCTTATGGAACTGCAATATACTTTTTCAGTCAGAGAGGTCATGCCTATCATTTCTAATGCAGAAAGTCCTGGGTTTGATATTCACTGCTGATAGGGATGTTTGCATCTGTGTACGCCCTGTTTGTTACCTAATGCTGCCTCTAAGATGTCAGTTTACAACTGCTATCATGATACTTAGTTCTGATGAAGTTTGTTCCAAAGAAAGCGATATAGTATTTTAGAAATAAAAAAGATACTTTTTCTAACATGTTTTCTCGTCCATTCTGATATTTAGCGCTCTCTAATATTAAGTGTTTAACAGATACACCAATTTTTTAATGTGCTTTTTAGGAAGAAAATGGGCCTTTTTCATATATTTCAGCCCACCTGAATCTTTGGCTTTATTAATAAACTGACAATTTGAAACAATAGAATCTGTTGTTTTCCATGGAGTGTCTGTATATGTATTCATACTACAAACAGGCATATTTCCACACGCTTGGGTCAGATACTTGAGCCTTAGTAGTACCCACAGGTGCTATACCTTCTCTACACATCACGCACATGATGTGAGTGATAATTATGTATCCTTTTACATTGACTTTCTCTCAGCCATCTGTCTAATTCTGGGGTGTTGTTTTTCATTCTGAGACTCTTGAGAGATGTAACCCTTCCGAGTTTTTTTGAGATTGTTGTCTTTTTATTTTCAGGAATCTTTCTTTTCTACTCTATTTGATTTCTTTTTTATTTTTATTTAGCCTGGGTTTGTCTTCATCGGAACAGTGAGCTCAGCCTTACACACTCAGCTCAGAGCATGGTGAGCTCATTAATATTCTACCCTTTGAAATCTGTAGGCATGCTCCCTATTGTGGAATTATTTCAATCATTGAACCCTGCAGGAGAATTTGAATTTAGTATTGACTACCTTCAAGGGCTGTTATTTGAGCTTCTGGCTCTGTGGTCCCTCTTCACCTATCCATTAAACCAGCCTTATTCCTGGCCATTATCTCAGCCAGAAAGATTGGAGACATCTTGGCATTTAGTAGTGGAAAAATGTCTGGTCAAGGTTACTCTTTGAATGTTGAATCTTGATTGTCTCAGGGAATTATGCTTCCAATGTCTCTTTCTCAGATCTTGCCCATCCTCAGAAGATTGAAGCATGCATTTATGTGGTTTGTCATTAGGTGGATATTTGCCTTTTGGCAGACTCCAGCTAACTTCCACCATGGAAGTAGTCCTGAAGCACAAACTTCGAGACCCAAAGACATCTCATTAGATAGTTCATGTATCCCAAGTGCTTTGTTATTAAATAGAAACCTCCTGAAAGAATTAGATACACTCTCTGAGGATGTGAATGGCCAGTATAACTTCTGAGAAAAAGCATCTCAAAGTTCCAGCTGGGATGGCCACGGAAATCTATTCTTAAATTTGCCAGGTGACATGACTTGCCAAATGTATGTAGGTGTGGTATAGCCTTGATCAGTCCATGCCTCCTACCCAAATGTCTGATCACTTCTCTGTACCTGCATCCCGGAACCAAATGCTGCAAAGGGTCATCCCATAGTATGAATCTACACACTGAGCAATTGCCTGAAGAAACAAGGAAGGCTGCTTTCCAGGAACGGGATGTTCTTTGACATGTCCCTGTGCACAGTCATGCCTCATGTTCCTCTTCAAGAATCAAGCTTTTGTATGTTATGCTTGTCTTTTAACAAGAATCCTTAAAATTTTTTCATTCTTTTGAGGCTATAAAAAAATGCATCTTTATCGTGTGGGTGACAAATTTTGTTATGCTTCCAAGTTCCCCCTGTGGTTTCAGTTGAACATCTTTATCTTCAGCTCTTGTTGTAAGCTGCTGCACACCATTTAACAGTTTAATTTCAATTCAGAGGCAGCTGCATATTAGTGGTAAGTAGCCCAATTCTTGTAAGGTACTTTATGTTCATTTAGCTTGAAGGATACTGCATAAATATAAAATGTCAATCTATTTGCATAATTATGCTGTGTACATTTTACTTGTATTTTTTTAGTCTCCACAGGTATGCAGAAAATGTGTTCTATAGATGTATATGTTCTGTGTGAATTATCAAGAAAGAATTCAAGTAAACCGAGAAATAACATTTCCTGGTCATTTACCTCTTAAATATAGCTGTTTTACGAAATTTCATTGAAAGTGATTGGATAGTTTATGAATACCTCTTAGCTAATTAAACTTACAAAAAAAAAGAAATTAAATGGATATATGTTTGAGCTCTGAGCTTCCACAATACTGCTTCTTTTAAAGCCAGACAAAATGCTGCAAATATATTGAAAATATTGAACATGATATGCTACCACCAAAGCTGTTTACATTTACAGGAGACCAATACGTCAGTCAGTGTCTTGGCTTCAGACAAGATCTGTAGGACAGCTTTGATAAGATGCTGCTCACAGCCCAAATAATGTTTGTGTATTTTATTCATATGCAACTGAATTGAATTGATTTTACCAGCTTTGTAGATACAGCTACAAATTCATCTCGGGTCATCAGCTGTGAGAAGGATGTTGGTTTTTTACTATAAAACTATAAAACTATAAAACACTTGGTTTGGACTTCAGAGTACTAAAGCAGCTTTTTTTAATGCTTGCTTGTGTTTTTATAGTATTAGAATATTGTCTTATCTGGAGTAGCTTTGACACCAGCTGGGTTGGTAGGGTGCTAGAAAAGAATCTTGGGATCATCTCCGCAGGAGATGAAATTTCAGTTAAAACTCTGGAGTTTGTAGTCAGTTCAGCCAGAGGATGGACATTGACGTGTATCAGAGTGAAAAAGAAAGACTTTTCTACAAGGTTCTACTGGGATGTGACTTTGCATCTTTAATGAACAGACATGGTTTGGTTGATGATTGATTGATTGATGGTTTCATAAATAATATTTGTTCCTCCCGCTTTCAGTCAGGTACCACCAGAAGGCATAAAGACCCTGCTTGTTTCGTTGACTTTCCACCTTGGTCTCTTTCATTCCCCTCCTGTCATCCTCTGTTCATATGTACTAGCTTCTAAATGTAGGAGCTGTAGCCCTCCTGACTGCCTCAGTCTTACGCCCTGCTAGGAACCTCTTACGTACAAATGATCTTCATGCTCATAGTACTTTTACCCTAATATTTATAAAGCATGCATTCCACACAGGAGAAATGAGGTAAGCATCAGTTTAGAGACAGCGAATAACAATGGTGCTGAGAAAATCTGGTCGAGAAGTGATACTATGCAGCAGCATGCTCTGCTGATGCTTTCTCCTAAAGCATGCAAATGTAACTTTTAGATGCATTTTGGAAGAAAAAAAGCTCTCTTTAAAGAGCCAGCCATGGAATTAAATACTCATTAACAGGGAGTCTGCAGGTTTTTTGATCTTCCAAATACTAAAAAATAAACATGTATCTGTTTTTCACAGGAGAATCCCTTCAAGGAGAGGATTGTGGAATCTTTCTCAGAAGATGGAGAGGGGGGCCTCAGCTTCAATGATTTTGTGGATATGTTCTCTGTGCTCAGTGAAATGGCTCCCAGAGAGCTTAAAGCAATCTATGCCTTTAAGATCTATGGTACTGTATTGGGATGCTTTCCTATGCCTTTCTTGTTTGAAGTAAATGAGTATGAGAGTTGTTGGTGATCTTTTCTTTCATTATTTTATTTAGATTTTAACACAGATAACTTCATTTGTAAATCAGACTTGGAAAAAACCCTAAATAAGCTGACCCGAGAAGAGCTAACAGCAGAAGAAATTACTCTAGTTTGCGAGAAAGTGATAGAAGAAGCTGACATGGATGGTGATGGGAAACTAGGATTTGCAGACTTTGAAAACATGATTTCCAAAGCACCGGACTTTCTCAGGTAATGTTTTAAGAAAAAGATAGTCTCTTGCTTATTTTCAGGTATCTTTTTAGGGTATTACCGTGTAGTGCAATACAAGAAATGTCAGACATAAGTACTTTACCAGAGAGCCGACTAGAGGACGACCTCTTACCCTGACTCATTTTACTTTTCTAGAGCACATTTTAGTTCGCTCCTAACTTGAAGACTAAGAGCTCAGTGACTTTTAATTATCTCCTCTTTTTTTTTTTTCCTGTTTGTTTGTGTGGTTTCTTCAGGAAAATATTTGGATCTATTATAAGCTCAAATTCATATTATTCTCAAGCCTATTGCAAGGATCCATGCTAGGAGTATATGTAAATATTGTATACATGTTACAAATATGCATGGAAACACTTTGATCTTTTGTGCTGAGAAGGTGAGGGCTAGAGGACAAATACAGTGGTACAGTTCATGCTGGTAGCAGAAAATCAATTAAAATGATTAATTAATGCAGACTTCCTTTGATCCACTGTTAGGTTTTTTTAATAACTGATAACTTTTTATTTTTGCTGCTGAGTTTCTTCCTAATAATCTATAGATAAAACACAGATATTTTAAGACAGTTTTTCTTGCACATCTCATACTTAGAGAACTTTTGTAAAGGACAATGACTCTTTATTTTTACATGTTAATAAAATGGTCCACATAAACTTATTGTTAAGGCTGTTACTTAAGTAATATGAGGTTAAACCTTCTTTAAGAAATTACAGTGAACCAGACAGCAAAATAAGATACTTCCAGACTGGGAGGAGTTCATTTTTGAATCTTGAATCTGCTGGCAGAGTAGGCTGAAGCTAAAACCTGGGTCTAATTTCTCCCCAAATTTCATTGGTCGGGGTAAACTATGTCTAATAGTAAATGCTTCATAACCTGAAAAAGTGTTTTTCATAATCTTTGTTCATATACATTGTTGTTAAGTTGGTAGTGCTGCTGTTCATCTGGTGATAATTGATAGTAACAGGTATGTTCTAACACCTGTGAAGATAATAATCCAGCACTTGTCTGGACTGTATACCTGAGAGCAGGTATACAGTATGATTGTAAGTTGTTTTGGGAATGTTGGAATTAGTAACTTCTAGCTTCTGCAGACTTGCGTCTCCTGATTAGTTAGCTAATATTTGAGAAGGACTTTAGTTTCATTTTTTTTTGCTGCAGTTAAGGTGTGAAGACTGGTTCATCTATGTAGATTTTCTGATGTCTGGAAAGGTGCAGAATCATTTTGCATCTTGCTATGAAGTGGAACGCTTAGAGACTCTTTCTTTGCACAGCCACCCATTTGCAGGAAATGGGCAGAAGCTTAATCATCTTTCAGTCACATGTTGAATTCTGACAAAGGATTCAGAAGTTGCTGGGGAGGATTAACAAAGCTCATAGTCAGACTGAATAGAATAAACTGTATTTTCATAGGAGGTAAGGCTAAACATTAGGATAGAATTAAGATAGATAAAAATTTGCACTAATAACCTTAATGCTAATAGTGTTTAAGAACTTCTAAGTGTTCTGCAGAACACAGAACAATCTATTTCTTTAATAAATGAAATGTATAAGGGGAGACATTATAACAAAATGATTCTGCAATAAGGCATGAGGACATGACCCCTGTGAACCCTGAGAAACATCAGCATCTCGAGAGGATATGCTACAAAGTCAGCGTGAATGTCTTTTATATATGAGAAACATATTGGGCATTCCTTGACTAATCAAGTGTGTCAGCAGAAACTTATAGAACAAGGTGCGTATCATCATTATGGTGAGACTCAGCTGAGTAGGTATTCGCATATTTTTTTACATGTATTTCCAGCTACAAAAATGTTTTCTTTACACTGTTATCCGTGTAGAAGCTGCTGGGGTCAGGTAGAGTTTCCTTTAATCAATGAAATGGCTGTACTGTACCTACAAATCTGGTAGAGAGCAGAGGTCAAATGTGAAGAATTGAGGGCAGATCTGAAGACTCAGCAGAAGCTGTAGTTTCAGAAGTTTCCTGTGCCATGGCTGACTTTACTGCTGTGTTGTAGAGGCTCACAAACTGCTGACTGAGAATTCCAAGTTGAGGATGGTGTGCAATCCAGTAATTTCCTGAGAAAGTAGCAGAGAGGAATATTTACCACTGTAGCTGTTGGAATGACTGTTATAATTATTTCTCTTTTCCAAGTTTGTGATATTTTGGGAAGCTGAGGAAATGAGTCAAAAGACCTAAGTGCTGGGTACTTAACAGGGCAAGAAGATGGGTAAAAAGAGGGATGAAGTGAAAAGTACAGAGCTGGCTATAGATTAGGTAGAGAAAATAGAGAGGACGGATCACTGACAAACACTGATAATGTCAAAGGACCAGGCTGCCAAGTATTAGAAGACTGATCATTGAGTTGCTCAGTTTAAACACATATACTTTGATCTGTGCCTGTGAGATGGTCAACTCATGTTATCAAGATGTCTCCTTGATGTTCAAGGCTATGATGTGTATATTTAAGGCAGATTTTTTCCATGCCTGGCTTCAAGGGAAATGGTAGCTTCCCTTTCCTTTCAGGTCCAGGAGATCAGCTGGGTGACAGGATTCGGTTCTGAAGTCTTCAGGCTTAAAGAGCTCCTGATGTGACATGACCTAAAGAAGGGTCTCCATCCACCTTCTAGCTGAAATGCTGTTTTAGAGCCTCTGACTGTTAACTCAGCAACATGTTTTTTAACCTTTCAAGTTATATTGCAAAATCAGGGTGTAAATGGAAAAAGTCTTGGAGCTGAGAAGAGATTGTGTAGTTTCTCTGATCTGGATTCAGTTTCAGCCAGAGTTGGCTGCTGCAGAAAAAGAAAGTGACAAGGTCATGAGACTACTTTTATCCAAACCAATCTGTATGGAAGACTTGATACCTCTCCTTTACTATGGTTTACTGTTCCTTTTGCCTGCAAAAGGATTTTGTTTTTTGAGGACACTCTTAATCATATTTTTGCTGTATGCAGTGCATCATAGACTGACACACTTGTTAATACCAAACTTCCTGATCTGAGCCACTTACTGTCACTTTTTAGGTACTGTGTAAATGTTGCATTCTAAAGGGAGACAGTGATTTGACTTTTGGAATGGGATCCACTGAATTTTAATGCCACAATAGGTACACCAAGATCTGACTGGGGACTGAAACTAAACCAGTGCTCTCTGATAGTACCCAGTGCATGCTAGCATGTGACAGAATGGGTGACATGGGACCAGAGTGCAATTTAGATAATCTCTCACCACATAAAACCCAGTTCCTATTAATTGAGTTCAATTGTACTATAACAGTCTTGGACACACTACCTATTCGTTTAATGAAATAATGCTTTCTTTTATTTTTCTGAATTTATCTCCAGCTCAATTCATGGCTTTTCATTTTCCTCTCTTCTGTGTCTTCAGCTGTAATGGTCCTCTTAAGCGGTAACCATAGGCTGTGTGCAGCCAAACTGAAGACAGAGCTGTGCAGTTGCACCGTGTAATATAACACAGAACATGCAAAGCACAGGAAGTGTCTTAATAGTGGATCAGCAACCCTGTATGCAGTGGTAAACTTATGCCTGAACTATCTTCTTAATATTGTAAAAAGATACAACCCCCATGTTTTCATCTAAATAAAATTGTCACTTTTGAAATCTTCAGCAGACTCATGGAAGAAATACCAACCCATCAATGTCCAGAGACAGCCATAATTTCAATTGGTCTTGCATATCTCCACTTTTTGTGCCTAGCTGAATGTATTCCAGACTTTAAATTCAAGGAAGCCTAAGTGCCTATTGATTTATACTTTCTGTGAAAATTAAACACCCAGGAACCAAAGCAATAGCCACTTTTGAATATGATTGCCAGTGAGCAATTGAAGATGCTGGGTAACTGCAGTTTTCAGAGACTTTGCCGTGAAGCTATGCGCAATCAGCATTTCTGAATATCTCAACCTAGACTACCATATTGGCACCTGGTATGTGATCTTTAGAAAATGTCAAGTAACATACCAGACTCCAGATGATTTTTATTTGTAGTAAAGGATTTCTTATTCTGTTCTTTGCCCTTGCCCCCCACCAAAAGCCACTTTGTAAGAACAGGAAATTCACATTGTAAGACTAGGAAATTTAGGATGCAAGCAGGGTTTTATCCCTGGCTCTGCCATTGCTTGAGCGGGTGATCTCTGCTAAGCCATAGATCATTTTGTTCTCTCTGCTCTGTTACGTGGGACCGGTGCTTACCTAACTTCTGACAAACATTGAGAACTCTTATAATACGAACTATCCAATTGTAAAATCTCATCATCATTAAAATGAGGTATGAAATTACTGAGGAGGAATACCTTCTTTACCCTGTTTGTGGAAAACCTTTGGAGGCCAGATTCCTATAACAATGTACACTCTGGTTTTGAAGCACTTTTTTCACATAGCTCAATATGTTGGGTTTTTTAAGCTGTCATACTATCATGCATACTTAATAGATACAGCAGGCATTAATTTTGGCACCATGATCCAGGCTTTGACGTGGTATGAGCTGAAGTTCATTGACTGATTTTCCTTATCTCATTACTCATTTCTCAAACCTTTACTTAATGACCCTGTGTAGGTTTAATCTCCTACAGAGAGCCTTTGCGAGATCTGTACTGCTGTCAGGCAAATGAAGATGCAGTGAAGTCTGTTGCTTGATTTGCACTGCTGTGGTTGAAGAATTTTTTTAAGACTAGAAGAAAACAGTGCTAACCATTGACCGGGGAAGAAGATATATAACTTTTTGGCTGTTATCCCAGAAGCCTGAGTAAGCTGTAAATGATAATGACAGTTGCTAGTTCAGAAAGTTTAATCCCAGTAGGTTTATTTCACTCAAAATTGCTATCATTAAGAAGCTGCTTGTAGTTTAATGGAAGTATTAGCACTCTGAACTGGCAGTAGCTAAGTGTTCTGTTCTACAAGACTGGTTACGTTTTCCACAGGAAATAGTTTTATAAATCATGCGGAAGGTTTAAGCTTATTTGAATGCCTGAGGGTGAAACATACTATAACAATCTGAAATGGAGTTTGAGAAGAATATGGCATTACTAACACCTGGGACCTGCCAGAACTATGACAGAGAAACAACAGATTAAACAAAACAATGTCATTGGAAATGCAGTATTTCTGAAACCTTTGTGAGCCTTTTCCTGTATAACAGTTGATCTCCTACCTAAACCTGAAGTAACAGAAGCTCTCTTATGGAAATGTGTGTCTCATAAGACCTGTCCCAAAATGAAGATTATCTAGTTCTTAAGGACTACAATTAGAGCTAGTGACAAATTGGCAAGAGATGCTTAGCAAGAAAACAGTGGAAGGGAATAATTTTGTCAGAAGTTGTCATAAAATATTTAAGCTGGTTTTTAGTAGAAAGCTTAATCTCCAAAGGCCAAAATGATGCTCTGATAGAAATACAAAAAAATTTCCCATAAATAGTTTTCCAGTGAAATGGATTTGGATGGGGTTTTTTTAAGGAGTCATGCCTAAAACATTTTCACATACAACGCTGCGGATTTTTTAGTTCCTAGATATTGCCTATGCGGGACTTAAATTTTCAAGAATTTGGCTTAATATGGGGCTCTAGGGACTTCTTGAGTTGTGAACAAGATGTTTATAATTCTTTTTTTCTAAAACCTTAGTGCCAGTAAGCTCTTTGCATCACTGTATGCTTTCTTTCATAATACTTAGGCTAGTATGCCAGACTGCTATGCATCACATCTGTCAGCGTCACCCAGATTGAATAAATTCCTAGAGACAAGGTTGCTAGGGACCACTGTGAACATAAAATTTTATCTCCTCCAAATACATACCACAGAGCTTCCTTGAGTGAATTCCTGATTCAAATCAAATAGCTGCGATAAAGTTAGAGCATTCTTTTTGTAAACGAACATCCCAAAACTGTACCTCCAGAACTCTTCAGCCTCTCAAATACTCCCAACCTTCAGAGTTTTCTTTTGGTGTAGGCATCAAAATTGTGGTATTTACATACAGAAATACATAATAATCCCTTCTGATTTCAGTCAAGAAAGAAAGAAACATATGGTTTATACTGTTGTGACATTGAACAGAGATTACTACCTAGAGAAAGTGACCTTTCAGCATGCCCTCTTTAACTCCCTCTTGGGGAGTTTTTCTGAAAACTGATGGCAGTAGTAAGGCATGCTGCTTGCCTGTATCACGGTGCAAATAGAAAGAAGATAACAATCAGGATCTCTTGGTCCTAGCAAGAGAAACAACAAATGTACTTGCCTAATTTGAATTGTTTAGGAACCCAAATGCTATGCCATAGCAAAAGTGCAATTGGCAAACATTTAGCTCTGATACATATCAATAAATAGGTCAATTTATACTTGATTTAATCCAGTCCTGAGCACCCCCTGAGCTAACGTTTTCAGAAGATGGAAATTTCTCCCAGGATGTTTCAATCTTCCTGAAAGCGCAAGAGAAGAGATTCAGATTTGTTAAACAGCACTGTCCTTTTTGTACTTTAAGGAAAATGTTGTGCATAACAACAACTGTGTTTATATCTCTTAATCTGTTTTTTTCCTTTACAGTACTTTCCACATAAGAATCTGAAGATGTTTCTGTGAGCCAGTGTTATCAGAAATGACTTGCCAGTCCAGCTTTTCTGAATCCTCAGGCACTTTGAGGGCTTTTGTCCTCTAATTATGGCTTCTTAGAACTCAGCAGAAAGTACTGAACATTCTTGTCCAGGAAGAGAAGCATCATGTGATCTACAGGATATTTGGAACAGTCACATTTTTATCTTCACTGTTGGCCAAGCACTCTGGCAAAGATGCTTGGTTATAGGGTTGTGGTTTTTTTTCTTTTTTTTTTTTTTTTTTTTCTTTTTTTAAACAGGCAGAATCAGAATATTATTAAAGGTATTTCCACATAGTTTTTATACTTATGAATATTTAATACTGCTCTTAAAAGCGCAAAAAACCCCCCCCAAAAATGAAGGTTTGACAGAAAGATTAGCTTTGGTGACTTTTCCAAGGTATTTGAAAGAAAGCATGGGCCTTAAATAATGAGGTGCCTCTATCACTGTGTTGTACAGCTGGGGATTTTGCATGGAAATTATCTTAGGTGAAAGAATGGCAGTCAAGATAAAGTTCCCAGCGTTGAAGACAACCACATCCCAGGTTTGCCTTTCAGTCACTGAAACGGCAGTTGCTGGGTTTGGTGCTTACCTTCAACCAATATTTTATGGATTGTCATGTCCTTATGAAACTTGAAGTATTTGCCTTTTGTATATGATAACTGCATACATGATTCATTTCTTCTCAAGATAAATGTTAAAATTGTGTCCTTATTCTCAAAGGGAGTCTTGCATTTTACTTATTCTCTGGGCTGATAATGTTGAACGGAAGAATATAATCATCTGTAACTCATGAAGAAGTTAAAGAAGCACAGAACTACTACTAAGGACATGAAAAGACATTTTCTTTCTAAACCAGCTATGCAATCTTTCCCATAAAATGCATGAATGCAGCTCTGTATTTCTCTTCCCTCTCCAGCTGGAAATCAGCTAGATTTTTTTTTTTCTTAATTCCAGTATTGTTTAGGTACTGGGGCCTGAAGACAATCATATGTGTATTACTGTTCTAACAGTCAATAGAAGGGCTCTGTCATTTACATGGCTTCTGTATCAAAGTCATCACAATTAAAACTTTTGACGCATTCTGTTGTGCTTTGAGACTTTTTAGCCTAAGCATGCACCAATTTCCTTTCTGGTCATCATTCCAATTACTGTAACTCTTTCAAAGGATGAAATGTGTTATTCTTATTGAAAAAGTTGTTGAAGTAGAGAAATGAATCTTTTTACCACTTCTGTAGGGATGATGATGCTTATCTACCTCAGAACCTCTTGCATATGGTGAGCTTGCAATGTAGTTGGCTCTTCAAATTCACACAATATATGCATCAAGAAGAAATATCTACCTGGCAGTATGGTTGTATATGAAAAGTGTCGATGGAAATTTTGGATATTCAAGGTATACAGGACAGACTTGCTTAAAGCAGCATAGTGAAAATGAAACTTGTATGTTAGTAATAACATTTATTTTAAAAATATTTTTAGAAGGATCATATTCAGCTATGTTTATAGCATTTTAATACTTCCTCCTACTGTTTTCCTGTTTAGATAAAGGAATTAGAGCCTGAATTCCCTTTGATTTACTTACTCAAGTTAAAACCAGCATAAATCAATCCTGATACTCAGTTCTGATTGAGTAAGAGGAGATTCAAGCATCAATCTTCCATTTCAAGCAGATTGTTAGAAGTATCGCTTGATTCAAACAATCTGCAAGATGTTGGCATTGAAAGATGATGTTAAATTTCCCTCCTCTTTGAAATGTCAGCCTTGGTTTTTTATTTCTTTCAAGACATATATTTAATCTTGAAATCCTCCCGAGATCTGTTTTTCTCTCATGATCAGTATGCATTGTAAAATACCAGGTTGCAAGACTCTGGATCAGATTGTTCAGACAGAAAGGATCTGGTACTATTGACATAGGTCAGTTCCCTTTGACATCAGTGTTCTTTTTCTATCTTTTAAAATTACTACTAGCTAAAATTCTTTCCTTCTTGACACTGTGTCATTCCACAATTAGATCACCCTCCCCACTTGAAGGAATACCTCAGTTGTCTTGGAATGTGCTCAGTGTGTGTTTTCCCCACGTCCTCCCTGACCCGAATGGTACAAAGCACTTGGAGACACTTGGGCTTGCAGTGAGACATTTAACCCTGCAGTCATCCATCTGAGCTGAGAAACAAAGAGAAGAAGAAATCGGGAGTACTTCTGTTCACAGTTAAGGGAGAATGCTTGCAGAATACTGCAGGTACAAATGTATGCACTTGTCCTAACTCCCTTTATTTGTTTGCCTTATGTTAGTCTCCTGTAACAAAAACCCAAGCAGTGTAATGTGTTACTGGAGTCTGAAAGAGATATGTACTCTAAATGCTTCTGGAGCAAAATAATCCTACCTAGTAGTACCTGATGGCAAAGGTAAGAGGTAGATTTCTAAAGCAGCTTTGTATTTGTGGTTTCTTAGTTGTCTGTAGTTGGATGTCTTACCACTGAAACTTATTATGGCAAGAGTGTTGAGTGAATAGGAGTGCAGCGTGATGCAAATTTAAATAATGTTATGAGGTAAAAAAGCAGCTGTATTTCTGCAATAGCATTATTGGCAGAATCTTACAAATTCACTAGCAAGTATTTATTCAACCAGGCTTACTTATTCAAAAGGAACTATCAGGCAATTTAGAAAGAAGCTGAAACAGTAAAAGAGATTTAGGTTTGAAACAATTTTGGATTTGGCCTTAAAAGCAAGAGGACATATATTTCGTATTGCAAAAAAGGTCTTTCATAGGAATGGACATGTCTATATTTGCCTTCAAAAATGGACAAAGAAAAACGAAAACTATTAATTAAAGCCTCTATTAAAATAGCTAAATGTGTGTTATCTCTAGTTTATATACACTTAAAGCATCTTAGGGACAAAAAGGAGCTAGTGGAAGTTAAAACTGTCAAAAGGCAAGTAATAACCAAGTTATTTATCAACACACTTTAGTTCATTGTTTTAAGGGAATTCCATAAGCCGAGACTTTATAACAGCCTGCAGGACAAAATCTGATCTTTATTACTTCCATATTAATCTTCAGTAACTCTGCTGACTTCAGTGGAATTAACTCATATGTCTGTAATTGGATCTGTGTTGAGGAAAGCAGTTGGGTTTTGCTGCAGTTCTTTGTGCGCTCTCATGCCCTTTTAATGTAATCATAAAGTGCTGAATGTTCTTTTGTTAGTCGATAACTACATGTTCCTCTTTGTCAACAGACTTAGTGTTGGAATCTCTTGCAATTTCTCGCAATCGCATAGAAACAGTCTCCTCCTGTTTTTCCCGCAGGGCTGATTTTTGTCTCCTTTACATGTTAGAAGCAGTTCTGATGCAACGTCACAAGGTGGCGCCATAACATCAGCTCAGGTCATGACTTCATTTAACTGTTTAAACTTCCCTGCAATGCAGGGTTCTACCTAGAATCTATGATGCCACAAACAAAAAGATGAAAAGTGTGGTTAATTACTGATTTTAAAACTCTAGATAATTACACAGTTTCATAGTTGATCAAATTCATGAAGTTAAATCTGACAAGGGGCAAAACTAAATACTTTTGAAATAGGTATATGAATGTATATGAGAATTTTTTTCTTGATACACACACTAGTTGAATTGTGACCCAGTATAATGACAATACTCCTTTAATGTGTTTTGAACTCTGCCTCAAATGCAGGTACCGTAATTTTCCATACAGTTACTCATTTCCTTTTGTGTAATGTTGGTCTCAGTAATATCTGACATTGATCAGTATAATGGGTTAATTTTTTTCCCTTTCATGAGTAAATATGCTATTAATTCCATCTGTTCAGTTTTGTTGTCTTTCAGTATCATTGGATATTATTTTCATTTTTTTCATTATTCAATAGTAGTACCTCATGGTTTTTTGTTTGTAAGAATCATTATTTCATATCATCTGTCATGTGTTCTCTGGAAATATGACGGCCACAGCTGTTGTGGGTGATAGCAAACTGTTGATTTGTAGGAATTTTTATGTATTTTCTGTCTTACTCTTTATAAGTTATGCCATCTTGTTTGCCTTAGAACAATGATGAACACTGAGTTGAAGTCTTATAGGTGGCCTGTGGTTTTTATATCTTTTTCTTGGTATGAGAAAACAGAAGAATGGATTAATTCAACTTTTATTACTTTTAGATGTGCATTACCTGATGCATTGAAGTTTATCTACCATAATGTTTCCTGTTAACAAAGTTTCATATTTGATTGCATATTTGAAACATCTCAGTCTCTGATGACCCATGTATTTCATCTTCAGTGGGGCTTCAGCATATGCCTGATGTTCAACATGTGGCAAATCTACTGTTCTGGGTAGAAGTGTTTGTTTGAATTAAGGTCAAACTGCGGTAAGGCACCATATATGACATTATCGCTCTTCTTAGAGATGGAATCTGTTCCAGTGTTTCTTGTGTTTTATGAAAAGAGCATATTAATAAAAATGGCATTTATTAACATCCCTGAAAATTGAAATGTGCATTAAAAATTAAACAAATAGTGATTTTGTTGCAGGAACTATTAAAAAATCATATTCTAGAGACCTTAATAGATTGACATTATATTCTGAAATAACGGATTATAAAGTAAGCTAGAGACAAAGAGTTTGGTAATAAAATATTTGTGGAATGGAATTATTACACTTGTCAGCTCAGGATCCATAATAAATCAATTTGAGCTGAAATAACAGCAGGATTAAGAAGAGTTTGTAATGTTATTGCCCAATACACCTCACCTGGGACAGACAGTGGAATAAAATTTGACGAGGAAGACATTAAAGATAATAAAATTATAATTATTCACGTCCTTAGAAAGATGTGTGTCTGAGACAGAAGTGAAGGACATCGTGAACAGATGTTCTGCCTTTTTCTCTGTATCATTTTGCAGTTACCGGTGTCTTGTAGGGATGTTAATGACACCGACTGGCTATCAAATTCTCTTTGG